ATGAATGGAAACAGCATGTTCTGCATGCAAACTCATCATCTGTCCACAAGCCTTCTTTTTCATCTAATTTGTTGTTTCCTTGCTACTTCCTTTTATCAGAACCTACTAATTAATTCTAATTATTAATAGAACAAATAATACAACTATGAGTACTTAAATACAATTATCAACTCACAGATTGATTATACCATGCAACTTGGGAAAACAAATATTTACATCCCATTGTTCTAAATGGATAGACACTTAATTAGTCACATGTTTGCATGTGATTTCCTTGCTATATGTATATACGGCATGTAAGCCACTTGTGACTTTTGCACGTTTCATCATTTGTGATTAACTTATTTATATCATAATCTTAATATTGACAAATGCATGTAAATCAGCAGAAAGTGTTCTTTCCAACTCGATCCCCTTTCCTCTGTTTTTGAATATAAGGTCATGATAACTAGGTGCTCTTTTCTATTTCTGCAAAAGTTTTGGATAATTTTAATGGAGGCAAAGTTAAATACCACTATATATATATACACGTTCTGAATTAATCTCATCTCACATATATCATTCATGATTCAACTACTACAGTACGTAGTTTGTAGTTTATGTGAGGTGTCAAAAACCAAAGAAAGACTTGCTTATTGAATGGTGCAGGATGATTAATGTTAATTGTGAAGGATAAGAAGATGTTTCAAAGAAGTGAAGGGAATCTACTGCATAACGCACCCAAACTTTCATTTTCCACAGGGCAATAATTAGTTTATCCTTTTAAGAATTATTCCCTCCATTCAAATTTTATGTAATGTTACCTTTTTATTACTCCATTTAAAAAAAGGGTATATTTTTATATTTAAAAATAATATAACTTTAAACTTCACATTTTATCCTTAGAAGCTTTTGGAATAGCAAACACAAGTGTTATTGTTGGGTTTTTTCTAAAGGGTGTGAAAGGAAAATAAAAGAGGCACCTCTTGAATTGCACCTCTTCATCTTACCCTTTCATTGTCAAAAAAATTTAGAGGGTTGGCCTCTCTTCTATATATTAATGTTGCATTGTTATTTACCAACAGAAAACTTAAAAATGTCAAGTGTGATTTGCTCCGTTTGTTGAATTCGCTGAAGTTCTCACTATTAGAAATTCGACAAAAACCGACCAAGGTCGACCGACCAAGGTCGACCGACCAACTTTGGTCGGTAAAAAAACCGGCCAAAGTTTGGTCGGTTTTTTAAAATATTTTATTTTTTAATTATTTTTTACGACCAACTTTGGTCGGTTTTCTTTAGCACAAGAATGCAGGAAACTATTTTTGAGTCATGCGAAATTTATTTTTCAAGAAACCGACCAACTTTGGTCGGTTTTCTTTAGCACAAGAATGCAGGAAACTATTTTTGAGTCATGCGAAATTTATTTTTCAAGAAACCGACCAACTTTGGTCGGTTTTTCAATTAAAATAAATAAAAATTAATATTAAAAACGACCAAAATTGGTCAGTCAATTTGGCCGGTGATTTTATTTTTAATAAAATCGACCAACTTTGATCGGTTATTTTCGTGCGAAAATACAATTAAAGAGTATAAATCAAATAAAAGACAGTCTTAAAATAAAATGCACCAATGGTCTAGTGGTAGAATAGTATCCTGCCACAGTGTAGACCCCTGTTCGATTCCCAGATGGTGAATCTTTTGATTACATAATTAAAATACCGACCAACTTTGGTCAGTTTTTTTTGCATTTTGTTTTTTGAATTTAATTGACCGACCAAAGTTGGTCGGTCGGTATGCCTTTCCGACCTCTAAAATACCGTCCACATGTAAATGGTCGCATTTTGGACGGTTATTGGTCATTACCGACCAAAGTTGGTCGGTATTTTTGGTTGGTTTTTACCGGATTTATAGCAGTGTCTGTAATTTCGATTGCCAGTATTGTAGAATAGTTTTTCCGTTCTATCATGGGAGAAAGTAATCCATAACCTAGGACAACAGCTAGGGGATTAAATTCCTCAAGGACACACAGGCAACTTGTGGGCTCGAAAATTATTTTATGTTTAGTTTTATTGAACTAATATTTCTTTACTTCTCTGATTGTCTGGTTTCAAACACAGTAATACTAAATATAATATCATGTTAAGGTCACAAATTTCAAAAGACTACATGCTAATAGATATTATGGCATATTTAAGATCACACTTTCAAATATATTTTTTTTTTCTTAAAATCTATATACTAAATCAAATTATTTCATATAAATTGAGTAAGCACGATTTGGAGGGCAAAAGGCAGGTATATATAATAACTTCATATATAAGATGTCTTAACAAACATAATCTTTGTGGACATGCACTAATTAATCAGGTTTAATTAAATTCATAAACTTTAATTCAAATGTTTTATTTCAAGCGATACAAGAAATATTTTCTTTCATGTTCTACCAATAAGGAATAACTTGACTTCTTTTTTCTTCTCAATCACTAATTATAACTATTATATTTCTCTATATATATTATTATGTCAACATCTAACAACTGATCAATCAGTAGCAGCAGCAGCATGTTTTAGGATCCATCAGTAGCATGCAGCAGCAGCAGCATGTGCTTCACTGTTTCGGTGTTTGCTTTATTCCTTTTGTTTTTCGGTCGGCAAAAGAGCACTTAACCCTCTCCCTTTCTCTTACGCCACTGGCATACACACTGATGTTGGCGAGTCCGTTTATTCTCACAATATGAATTTAAATATGATAATGTAATGGTTTTAGACTTAATTACCTCCTGTTTCCTTTTAGTTACTTTCAAATTATAGCTACTAATTAAATACTACATATACAAATATCCATTAATAAAATATTAGTTCCACATATATTTAGTAAATTCACAAATTACGTCAAATGACACAGTTAATATTCATTTCTCAGAAAATTACATTGTATAACTAGGTTAATTTTTTTTTATATATATACTATATGTTAAATTTTCTTTAGCGTCTTCGTATGTTTACTTTTATTATAAATTAACACCGTTTAGCGAAATTTCTAACTGTGCCGATACCCTTGTGGCAAGGTGTTTCCCCCATTGCACGAGGCTGTTGGGGCCAAGAGCCCGAGGGAACATGGTTAAATGAGCTTTTTTTGGTTCAACAAATATGGCCCCACTTGCTTTGTCTAGCCTGCAACAATGGTGCATTTCTTCTTTTCCATTTTCCTCGCTTTGTCGTTTTGGACTTTTCTTTTCTTTTCCTGTTGGGTTTGCTAGTCGCATGCATTCATCTGAACATCAAAGCCATACACATTGCCTTTTTTTCCATCCCTTTTTTTTCCTCGTTTAAAAGATGTTTAATCTGATCAAGCTTCCTCCCCCCCCCCCCC